CATCCCATCATTCATTTTTGCAAATGATCTCCCAACCACCAAAAATTTCAGAGAATCATAGAATTTTACAATATAGAAGGAGGGGCCATTCAACTCATCATGTGTGTACCAGCTCTCAAAATAGTTACCCAGCTAGTCCGACTCTCCAGCCCTCTAAGTTCTTCACTTTCAAATATATATCCAGCTCTGTTTGAAACCTCTGATGGAATCCACTTCCACCAGTCTTCCAGGCAGTGCATTTCAAATCCTAAAAACTCTCTGAGTAAGGGAGTTTCTCCTATCTCACTCCTAACTGTTTTGCTGACAATCTTGAAATTGTGATCCACTAGTTACTGACACACCAATTAATAGAAACAGAATATCCTTCTTTACCCTATCAAAATAGTTCATAATTTTGAACACCTCATAAGGTCACGTCTAAATCTTCTCAGCTCCAAGGAAAATAAGCCCGATTTCTCTAATCTTTCCTTATATCTAAAATCCCTCATTCCTTGTATCGTTCTAGTAAATCCCCTTTGCGCTTTTACCAGGGTTTTAACATCCTTCCTCAAATAAGGTGCCCAGAACTGAACACAATACTCCAAAAATGGTCTGATCAATGATTTGTAGAGGTGTAGCATCACTTTCTTGCTTTTATAGTCTATGCCTTTATTTAAAAACCCAAGGATCCTATAAGCCTTCTTAACAACTGTTTCAAGTTGCTTGACAACCTTCAGAGAATTATGCATGTGAAGCGTGATATCCCTCTGCTCCTGTTTGCCCCTCAAAGTTGCACCATTGAGCCTGTATTTTGTCTCTGTGTTTCTTCTACCAAAATGCATTATCTTAAATTTCTCTGCATTGAAATTCATTTGCCAGATGTCTGCCCATTTGGCCAATTTCCTCAAAGCCTTCCCTTTACTCCATCTCTTTAATTCTCTCTCACTACTGCTCAGTGATTTGCACATTTTTCTGCAGAGCATACAAAGATGTTTTTAATAAACTATTGCTGCTATGGAAACATCTGTTAGTTTTGTTGTTACCATGTTAAATTACATTAGTGGAGTCATGTGATACCTCATGCAAATGATTGTTTTGATCAAAATCTTAAATCATTTCCTAAAACCTCATTAGTTATATATATATTACAGATACCACTTTGTGAATTATTACTGATGTTATTATTTAGTAAAAAACAAAGCTATTCAATTTGTCATTGCAAAACTTATGGAATTTAATGTGTGTACTGTGTTTTATATACTACACCTATACAGAATACATTATCAAACTATTGACAATACAATGAAGAAGGTAACAGTAATGGAAGAAAAAGTTTGCTTATTTAAGCCAAATGTATAGAATTTCACTGAAACAAAGCATTTTCTTTGTCTAGGTTCCAATAGATAATTTTCTTCCATTCATTCAGATACTATAGCATTTAGTTCTAGAGTCACATAGTCACACAGCATGGAAACAGACCCTTCCGTCCAAATAGTCCACGTTGACTTGAATCAAAAAATAAATTTCATTTGCTTTTACTGTAAAAAAATCCCAAAAGAGCAAAACCCTTTTCAGTCACTCATCATATAGGAATGAGAACATGTATTCTAATGGAATAAGAACATATGAACTGGGAATTGGAAAAGGGTATTTAGCCTTTTGAACCTGTTCTGTTATTCAATGAGAAAATGGTTAAACTTCTCCAGCAATTTCATTTTACTACACTATCCTCATAATTTCTGGTTTACCTGGTGCTCAAGAAACTGTGAGTTTATCTTGAATATACTGAACAACTGAACAGTCATAGTCTTGTGTGATGCAGACTGCCAAAGATTCATTATCCAAAGACTGAAAACGTGTCTCCACATCCCTGTCACAAATAGTTGACTCATTATCCTACAGGTAGCCTCTCAGTATCTACCCTGTCAAACCCTTTATGAAATATCTACACCTGGTCATGTCTCATTCTTCCAAACTCCAGAGAATACAAAATCATTCTGTCCAAATTTTGTTCATTTGGACAGCCTTCTAACCCAAGAATCAATCATGCAGAATTTTTCAAAGCAATATCCTGCCTTCGATAAGGGAACTAAAATTGTAAACAGTATTCCAGGCATGAACTCCCCTAAACCTTGCACAGTTCAATTCACTTGAAATCAAGGCTAATACATCTTTTTCTGAAGAAGGGTCCAGACCTGAAACGTCAGCTCTCCTACTCCTCTGATGCTGTCTGGCCTACTGTGTTCATCCAGCTCTACACCTTGTTATTTCAGATTCTCCAGCATTGGCAGTTCCCACTATCTCTAATACACCTTTTGCATTTCTGTGCCTGCTTGCTAACTTTATTTTAACAAAATAATCAAATCCCTCCACATGAAACAAGCCTTTTATTTCATGCCTTTCAATGTATGGAATTTGAAGGATCAAACCAATTTTGTTTTGCTCCCATTATGTAAAATTGAAATGGAATTAAACCCTTCTCTTTACCTGTTACACAGAATCTCAATGAATCTCATCTTCTTCTTTCTACTCCCAATGGGTGAAATTCCACAGCAAAACCAATGTCTTAATTCTTCAATTCATTATCAAGTCTCCTCTCAAATAAATGGTACATTATAAAATTCTTGTGATCCCTTCAAATAGACATCAGTGTCCACTTCTACTTGTTAGGATCATGTCAGTGAATGAACTTGGGAAAGAGAAATTTGGAAACTGCTAATATGGATAACATGCAGTGTGTTCAGCCTATCAATATCTGAAATAGCAGTCCTGGGATAGCCACTGGAAGTTAAAGAAAAATAATGAACTATTTATTCAATGTTGTATGTTTTAATGTATTAAAATTTTGAGAGGGGGCTACAGAATGTTAACATTATCTATCAGTGAAGTGAAATTCTTAAAATAGCAATATTCAAAGAGCAACATTTTCAAGAGTTAGGTTCTTTGGCAGCTTTGAGCAGGATACAGTTGAATTTTTCCTGAACAAAAATCAATATGTTCCAAAGTTGAAAGGAACTGTCTGAGTGAAAGGACAAAACCTCGTTATGTCCATTGTGATCATTGAGATTTATGTGAATATTTGAAAGCTGATTGCAGACCAGCAATTCCGATTTTGTCAAGTGCTGCTCCCATTACATAGATTAAGAGCTTGACTAAAGTAAAATGGGCTGTGTTGTTGCAAATATGTTAAAAAAAAACAGACTACACTTAAATTGACAAGAGTCTTAGTAATAGCGACCGGTACTTGGTGAAAATAGCTCGGCCATTTGTTGTGGTGCCTTTGCATAGCCTATAGCTTAAATCAATTGGCGATGTGTCTGTCGGTAGTTCACTTCTCATACCTGTAAACTAGAGAACTATGCAGAGTACTAAACATATGCATGTATTGAAAAGGAAGGTGGGAATGTGTACATTGCGTTTTGGGTGAGCGGTGCAGGGGTTGAAGAACCGCTTTCTTTTACACACAAGTGACATGAAACCTTTCCGAGGTGGTATTTCTTGACAAAAAACCAGGAAGATCCTAAAAGCATTTCAAATTTAAAGCAAAACTTCTCGAACCTTTTAGGTTCGAAAATTCCCGTTTTATTTCTAGAGCGAGAGTCTGGATTGAAGGAAATATTTTCAACTTTCGAGCATATTTGCGTGAGCCCATTTGGGTCTATAGATAGTAAAAGGTTCGCATTTTCTAATCCCATGACTTGCCAGTTTTCAAAGCTCGTCAACAGAATAGATCGTTATAACCCTCTGTCGATTCATTTTCAGTGAAGATTTACTCCCAGGACTGGACGCCGTGTGGGCACGACTTCGCTATCGTCTTCAGTTAGACACACACCAAAAACCAGTCTGTCACTTGAAATTTCTGACCTGATTGCATGGTGCAAGGCTCCTGTTTGCAAGACCTGTGATAACCCTCAAGACGGATATCTAAGGAAGGATCCCATTCTAGTGCATTATAAAGAAATTGCGCCTCGGTGGCCCATGTTAAGAATCCTGGACCACATTTATTTAATGTAAGAGGACTCTCCACCTTGGAGCTCCGCCTGAGAGTTCGCTAACTCGAGCTCTGAGCTCCCACAGCCCGAAGATGCGCAGCTTAGGTGGACTGGCCAGGCCACGGTGTCCAGGGATGTGCAGGCTAGGTGGATTAACCATGGGAAATGCAGGGTTACAGGGATACAGTGGGGTGATGGGATGCTTTTCAGAGAGTCGGTGTGGACTCGATGAGCCGAATGGCCCACTTCCACACTATAGGGATTTTATGGTTCTGTGATTTAGGAGCTCCCTTTCATCAAGCTCCAGTAACGTCTCAATTGAGTGAGATGCCCTGGGATCGAGTAAACAGCTCACACATGTACTTACTTACACCTGTCCCCTTGTTCAATCCGTTGCAGAATTGCAGCTATCGTGGGAAGCTGCAGTTTGGGGGAATATTCTTTACAGGTTGAATATTTAATCAGCAGATTTCAAGGACAAGTCAGAGCGGGTAAAGCTGTCAGGACAGCCTGTTAATTCCTAAATAAATAAATGCAGCGATTGAAAGGGGAATGTGAGAAAACAAAAGCGCTCATACAATTAACCATTAACAATAAACTATATTCCGGTGAATTCGTGCAACTTCAGGACACGGTCAAATCTATTTATAGTTTTAAAAGTTCGAACGCATCCCGATCTAAAGCCGGGAACAATTCATCCCAATTGAGAATTCCCAGCCCAGTCACGTTCCTTCCCACTCAGTAGATAATGCATGCATTTGAAAATCCTTTTTCCACATCAGCCCTGAACTAAAAACATCTCCAGTGCCACTACACATGGAAGTAATTAAATAAAAAAAGACAGAGATAATTTCCAAATAGAGGTTAAATTGGTTAGAATACTGCGATACAATGCGCGCATGTAACTCTCCACATCTTCAAACCGTGCTGTAAATTCCTTCAATGAAAAGCAGAATCTCATTTGGAATTGCAACGGTTAAAAATTGAGAGAAGTGTAAAAAGTGCAGCCGACAAAGGAAGGAGACTCACCCGCGATGGTGGCGAGAACAGTCAGTGGCAGGAACACAGGTGCCATGCTGCAGACTCCGATCTTCCCAGGACTGGAGCTGCCCGTCTGCCTGGGACTCCGGCTGCAGTGTGGGAGTCTGCTGGATCAGAGACTCCCTGGTCCCCGCCCCTCTCCCAGTTATGTTACTCGTCGCCAACCCACTGCCAGCTCAACTCCACCTTCACACCCAGCTGCGGTTCTTAACCAGCTCAGAGCTCACAAAGCATATGAGAATGAGAGATGGCAAATCTCCACTGGGCTGAGTATTACACAGTAATCCCCAATGAAAGCTCTACTGCATCTTGGAGATAGTAAGCCTATTTCTGAAGAAGGGTCCCGACCCGGAACGTCAACTTTCCGTCTCCTCTGATGCTGCCTGGCCGGCTGTGCTTCTCCAGCTCCACACTGTGTTATCTACTGCACCTTCTGCACTACGCAGGTCGAATGCTAAGCGCCATGCCATACTTTCAAAAAACTAACACTAAGCAACTTAACCAGAAATGCTATCTTCCCAAAGAATCAAGAAGAAAACGTCTTTTCTTTTAAACATATTGTAACTCAATCTCCCTTGCTGTCTAATCTCTCTCGCATTCTAATCTTCCTCGTCCTCTAATTTTTGATTTGATTTATTATTGTCACATGTACATAGGTACAATGAAAAGTTTTGTTTCATGTGCATTACAGGCCGATTATACCATATAAAGTGCATTAGGGTAACAGAACAGAGATAAGTATACAATGTTACTGCTGCAGAGAAGGTGCACAAAGAGCAAGGTCAACATTAAATTTGAAATTTAAGAGGTCCAATCAGAAGTTTAATAACAGAAGGGAAGAAGCTGTTCTTGAATCTGTTGGCACCTGTGTTTAAACTTTTGTATCTTCTGCCATACCTAAGGGGGTGCAAGAGATTGTAATCAGGGTGGAAGGGATCTAATCTCCCTTACCATCTAATCATTCCGCGGCCTCCCCTTTCACTTGCTCCTCTCCCCTTTTTCAACAGCATAAAATCTATCACATTTCAGTTTCACAGAAAAGTCATATCAGTTTTGAAATATTAACCTAATTTCTATCTCTACAAAGGCTGCCAGACCCATTGAGTTTATCCAGCACTTTTTATTTTTCTTATATGGGAACAGCTGAGCTTGAATCTTGCCTTAGCACTTCAGGTCAAGTTATTGAATTTCATGCAACAAAGCTTCCAGTTCTTTGCAGAGATGTTTCAGGCAATTATTTGCTTTGGGTCCTCAGTCCATTATTGCAGTGTTATTGTAGAAGGATACTTCTCTTGCTCTTTCCACCAGGTTACCTCCTCCACATTGTCATTGGAAAATCTGGGTGTCAGTGTAGCATTTACCTTGTAGAAGTCAGTCAGTTTCAGTAGTTAAAAAGGCAGGATGCACAAAGCACACTCTGTTTTAAGAATCACACATTGCTTTTGAAAAGCAAAGGTGCCATCAGATTTCCTTCGACCCCAAAAGAAACTACCATTATGTACCATAAAATGTACTAACAGCTTTATATTTTAATAAACTGGAAATGTTTTGGGCATCTTACCCAATTTTCTGCAATCACTTTTGCAAGATTCCTTGTGGAAAATACATAATCGGCAAAGGAGGATCTGCTGAGTATGAGGTAAGGGAGCTATTCAATATCCGTCGCCCTGTGTGTTATAAATTGGTAGCCTGCCATAGGTGGAGATTAAAGGTTGCTAGGAATGATGTTGGTTCCCAGGTGCATCAGCTTATAAACTGATGAGAAGATTTCATGAAAATCCTTGAATTCACATTTTATATTGTGTATTTTGTAACTTCATAGGAAATAGGACCTTGAATAGGCTGATCTGCCCAGCATTCAATCAGATCATAGCTCTCTCTCTGTGGACTTAACACCAATTATCTGTGCAACCCTTATTATCCTTGATTCCATTGGCCCAAATCTTCGTATCAGCATTGAAACCCTTCTTTCTGGCATAGACCAGATTGAAAAAACCTACCCATTTACCTTCTTCCATTCTTTTTGTCTGGCCAAACATTTGATAAAGGATCCTGCAACACAGGAAACCACAGAAACATCAACAAAGTGAATCGGCATGGAAACCATGCCCGTTTTTATAGCACTCTCTTGCTATATTCTGATAAGGTTTAAATATCTTAGAGCTACTTGGAAAAACTACAAAGAGAAAGTATACCAAGCAGATACGTTCATTTTTGCAATTCATTTTAGTACTTTGTGTCTATTAAAGAGATGTCATTTTGTTTGATGTGTTATGATTCCAGTTGATGACAAATTTAGATAAGTCAGAGCCCAGGTGAAAGCTGACATGATAGACTGTTGTGTTTTTTCTTTTGTTTACCATGGAGGTCAGTGACTGCTGGAGTGGCATTGTAACTGGATGAGTAATCCAGAGGATCAGATAATGCTGTCCAGATCCAGGTTTGAATTCCCCCATGACAGACGGTGGAATGTGAATGCAAAAGAACATGGAATTAAAAGTTTAATGATGGCCATGAAATCATTACTGATTGTTGTAAAAACATATCTGTCTCACTAATGCTCTATAGGGAAGAAAATATGCCATTCATACCTGGTCTGGCCTACATCTGGACTCACAGCAATGCAGTTACATGGAATACAATGTAAATAAACGTGAAGTCATACATTTTGGTAGGAGTAATAGTAAAAAGGATTATTACTTGAATGGTAAAAAGTTGCAGCAAGCTGCTATGCAGAGGGACCTGGGTGTGCATGAATCACAGAAGGTAGGTCTGCAGGTACAACAAGTAATTAGGAAGGCAAATGGAATTTTGTCCTTCATTGCTAAAGGGATTGAGATTAAAAGCAGAGAGGTTATGTTGCAGCTGTACAAGGTGCTGGTGAGGCCACACCTGGAGTACTGTCTGCAGTTTTGGTCTCCTTACTTGAGAAGGGATGTACTGGCACTGGAGGGAGTGCAAAGGAGGTTCACTAGGTTGATTCCGGAGTTGAGGGGGTTGTCTTATGAGGAGAGACTGAGTAGATTGAGGTTATATTCACTGGAATTCAGAAGATTGAGGGGGGATCTTATAGAAACATATAAAATTATGAAGGGAATAGATAAGATAGAAGTAGAGAGGATGTTTCCACTGGCAGGTGAAGTTAGGACAAGCGGGCATAGCTTCAAGATTAGAGGGAGTAGATTTAGGACTGAATTGAGAAGGAACTTCTTCACCCAGAGGGTTGTTAATCTATGGAATTCCTTGACCAATGAACGAGTTGACGCTACTTCAGTAAACGTTTTTAAAGATAGGGTAGATTTTTTTTGAACAATAAAGGAATTAAGGGATACAGTGAGAAAGCGGGTAAGTGGATCTGAGTCCACGAAAAGATCAGCCATGATCTTATTGAATGGCAGAGCAGGCTCGAAGGGCCGGATGGCCTATTCCTGCTCCTAGTTCTTATGTTCTTATGTTCAGTTGACTCTTAACTGCCCTCTGAAATGGCCTAGCAGAGCACTCAGTTGTATCAAACTACTTTAAGTCTCAAAAGAGGAATTAAACTGTCTGGCCTATCTGGCAGCAACCTAGGCATTGGAAACAACAATGGCAAGCTCAGCCCTGTTGACCCTGCTAAGCCCTCCCTACCAACATCTGGAGGCTAGTGCCAAAACTGGGGGAGCTGTCTTACAGATGAGTCAAAAAACAACCTGACATTATCATACTCATAGAATGATACCTATAGACAATATCTCAGAGACTGCCATCACTTACCTTGGGTATGTCCTTCCTCACCAGTTTGGGCCAGCAGAGGAGGCAGTCAGGGGAGGTGCCCTTGATGGGAATTCTTAGCACTGACTCTTGACCCCATGAGGTCTCATGGCTTCTGGTCAAACATTATCAAAGATTCTGTGATTGTCATGTACTGCACCCACCATGCCTCCGCTGATGACGCAGTTTTCTACCATTGGAACACCACTTGGAGGAAGCACTGAGAGTGACAAAGGTGCGGAATTTACTCTGGATGGGGAAGTCAATGTCAATCACCTTGGACACGACGGCAGTGGTAACGTCCTAAATAGAATAGCTGTTCGATTGGGTATGCGGAAGACACCGAGGAACTAACAAGAGGCTTGACCTCGTCCTCACCTATCTCCTTGCTACAGATGCATCTGTCCAACTGCAGCCTGGCTATCTATGAGGGACTGTACACAATCAGCAACAGCAGCAACGTTGCACTCCAACACAATATGTAACCTCATGCTTGGCATATCCCCCAGTCTACCATGGTTCAATGAAGTGTACAGGAAGGCAAGCTGGGAGCAGCACCAGGCATACCTGAAGTGAAGTATTAGCCTGGTGAAACCACAACGCAGGACTATGTGCATGCTGAGCAGCAGAAGCAGCAAGTGATAGATAGGGCTAAATTTATCCACCTCCAATGGATCAGAACTAAGCTTTGCAGACCCACCTCATCCAGTCATGAATGGTGGTGAGCAATTAAGCAACTTGCTTTAGGAGGTGACTCCACAAATATCTCCATCTTGACTGACAAAGAAGCTCAATATACCAGTGTAAAACATAAGGCTGACACAGTTGCAACAATCTTCAGCCAGAAATGCCAAATGGATAATCCATCATCTCAATTCATCCAGATGTCCCCAGCATCACAGGTGCCAGTCTTCAACCAATTTGATTCACTCCACATAGAAATGACTGAAGTCATTGGATACTTCAAGTGCTATGAGCCCTGACAATATTCCAGAAATAATATTGAAGATGTGTTTCAGAACTTCCCACACTCCTAGGCTACCTATTCTATTACAGCTGAAATTCTTGTATCTTCCCAGCAATATGGAAAATTGCCTGGGTATGATGTCTTGTACACAAAAAGCTGGACAATTGAACCTAGCCATTTACCACCCCATTTGTACATTTGCAGTAATCAGTAAAGTGATGGAAATGGACATCGAAGGGCTATCAAGTAGCACTTGCTTAACAATAACATACCCATGATGCTCTGTTTGGGTTCGGCCAAGCACTCAGCTCATGCATTGGTACAGCCTCATTACACCATGGACAAAAGAACGGTACTTCAGAAATAAGATTA